ATTGTAGGCTAACAAAGAAGCCAAACGATCCCCATACCAAAGGGGTGGACCCCTTCATCCATTTCAATTTGCATGTTTTCAAAACAAAAACGTTTTGTTGGGCTACTCTATAAAACCTCGAAGTCAAAGCTATCCCAGACTTTCTGAAATGGAAATAGCTTCTTGGATGGGAGGCAAAATGTATTCAAACTTGGAAACAAAGTTCAGTGGGTTGTTTTTAACTTTCTTTTTTTGGGATATTATGAAGAGGGTTGATTTTTATATTTTTATGTTGGATATCTGAAGCACATTTAGCCTTTTATTAAATCATTCATATTTGAATAATAAAGCACAGCACAGGTGGGATGACAACAACCAAAGGATAAACTGTTTGCAGTTCACCCAAAGCCCAGCAGGGGACCTAAAACACATGTGGAAAAAGGTCTTAGCTCATCTCATATGATAAAAAAAAAAAAAGTATTTGTTTGGTTTCCATGCACAACCTAACAGATCATCACGTACACATAGTCTCCAATATGAAGCATGATGGTGGCCGCGTCATTTTGAGGAGGTGATGGTGCTTTTCTTTAAAACAGGGAAGCTGACAAAGTTTCAGTCTCTAGATGGGCCTCAGAAATGCATCTGTAACTCCCACAGAGGGTTCTTGAAAGAATCGACATGCAAATGCAGGCCGCACTGCTTTTGATTCTTACAGGATATTAAGTCCCAGTGTTCAAGGAGGTGTGAACAATACTGTATGATGAAATGTAAGACTTATGAGAAATTCTCAACACCTCGTTTTATTTGTTTTCAAGTATTTCCAAGTTGTTTGTTCTTAATTTAGTCAGGCTCTGTTTTCTTAGCCTATTACTAACTCTGTAGACTTTTCCAGAAAACCTTGAGAAGCTGGCTGTTGGGTTACCATGGTTACATTCCTACTGCGTGTGTGAAACAGCAGCAGGAAGAGGAAAGCTGTGGCGCTGCTGACTCCCGTCTGTTCCTTATTCGGTCAATGCTTGAACCCTCAGAGCAGTCCAACCGATTTAGAAAATGAAGTGTGTCAGAGGAGGGAGTTTCATAGCTGCCATGCTGCTAAAATTAGCCAGAGACTGGGAGGACTGTTCCCTGCATGAACAGGATTCTTTGTCCCTGATGGCAGAAAAATTGTCACATCACCGTTCTAGAGAAAAAATGTCAATCTTGAATGTGAAATGTTCAGTGCTTGTGTTTGGCCTCGCTGTCCGGGACACCATCTCCTAGATAACGTCTTGACTCACCCTCCACTGCAGCAGTATGTTCTTTTCTATCCACTGAGCCCAAATAAAACTTGAGTCTGTTTGAAGAAGTCAGCGGATGCTCACTTCCTGATTCAGATTTTAATGTAACTTTATCAGTTGATTGAAGTCTCTTGGTTACTGCTGAGAAAGTGGCATTATTTTTTTTAAATAGCGCAGTTAGTATAAAGTAAAGTGTTGGTGCAATCTGATAAGAAAATGATTTATTGCAAAAACTTTACCCTTGCTAATTGCCTTGTGCTGTTATTTATTTTTTTTGTAGTTCTTTTTTTTTTTTGCTAAAATGTGACACGAATCTCCATCATAGGGAGTCTCTCCTAAATGTCCCACTCTGGAATGCGATGGTTGGTTATAGATGGACAGTTCATAAGGTCGTCCCAAACCTGATCTGATTTGCAGGTTTTCATTTTTTACAGGAGATACAGAGGAAACTGTTCTGCATCTCCTAAAGGGAGTAATCCTGGTTGGGGGGGTGTAACAGAACATTTCTGGAATAGTTTCTCCCTTTTTCTAAATGCCCAACCCCCCCTGACTCCACAGAGGGGCCCAGGATAAGGGGAGAAGGGATATAGAGGGAAGAGGACGGGGAAGAAAAGAAGCAGATTGCTCTTAGAGCTTGCTGTCTAACCTTCTCCATTCTGCTTTAAGCATCCATTATCTGTTGCACTCCTCGACATTTCGATCCCTAATTTCCTCCTGGCTTCCTGCAGCACCTCTGGCTCTTGTGCTGATATCTGTTGGGGGTTTTTTTTGGCTTAGAACTGATATCTTTGCTGCAGTGGAGGGTAGGAGCCATGCAGCAGCTCTGAAAGGAAGAGAACAGTTTTTCTCTCCTTCGCAGTGCTGCTGCGGCTTTCTCCTTCATCACTTTTACTAAGTGGAACTGTTTACTGTAATGTGAGATACTGAGCAACTTAAACAACATTTTGTCTTGTGCTTTGCCTTTTATCACCACTAACAGAGAAGGTGCTTGGGTCCGTTCACCTCTATTATTATTCCCCTTCAAGGTGCCAGCTCTGCTTTCCATGTCATATGTTCCAGCCATTGCCATGGGAACAGTTGCTGTGTCGCGTTTCCACCCTTGATCCAGACCTGAATGCTTCTCTGTAGGCGCTGCGCTGGGAGGTGATCATCCCATTTGCGTCTCTGATCCTGGAAGAAAAAGCTAACACAGGTCCTGTCATGTGTTGAGGAACAGACAATGAAGAGCCAGAGGGCAGAGCTTTATTCTGGGACTAATCGTGTAATAATGCATAAACAATGGCTGTGTGATTTAATCATTTCAGATGTTGAATTTAAAAAGGGAAAGCACAGTTGCTGTACAATGGGAGCTACCAGAGCTACCAGCAGATCAAACAGAGGGCGTCACACAGAAGACAACAGCAGCAAGTCTGTCCACATGAGCAAGAAAATGCTAGAACAAAGTCCTCATTGTTCACACACCAGACCTCCATCTCTGATAGCAAAGGGTTTATCTAGGATGGAAGTGATTTGGTATCATTCAGAATGCTCTGTGCAAAATGACACTCATAATAGTAATTATATGTCTTCACTTCGAGCCGACGTCGCTTCCACTTTGCAGTTTCTCAAAAAAAAGTGAAGCTGGCTTTGGCAGAGCTGCAGAGAGACGGGAATGCACAGAGCTCCATCAGTCCACCATAATGAATGCGTCTGGAATGACCTTCACTTATCCTCAGCATTATTACCCGGATAAGCAGAACTGCTTTAAATGCATGAATAGAAAAACGGCTAAATGTCCTTTTTGCCTTTGAATCTTAAATGTAAAACAGTTAATAGAATATAATCAAATAGTATTTAATTTATTTGTTTCATATGCTCTATAAAATCTTGTCAGTTTAATGATTATGGCTTATAGCTTATTAAAAATATTAGATAAAAGCAATAAGAACAGATTTTTATTACATCTGGAGGTGATTTGCCTGTAGTTCTACCTGGCTGTCACCTTCTCCTTAAGGCTGATTTATACTCAGAAACCAGGTTGTCTGTGTGTGTGCATGCAAATGTGCCCCTGCTGCACCTCTCCAAAATTGTTGGTGACCGCAGAAAGGAGGTCTCTGATTGGTCAAATCTATATCCGCTCTATGCTATGCATATTTCCTGCTTGGTGCCTTACCGGCTTGTTTTGTTTGTATGACCGCCATTGTGGAAACGACTCCTGAAGTTGGACCAGCTAGAAGAGTGGGGTGCCTAAGAATGCTGGGACCCTTTTTCCACCTGAATCCCGCTCTTTTGGCCCTCATGTCCTTCCGTTGTCACACAAACTTGCCCCCACTTCCTCACCGCCTCGGCCTTATCTAGACCACAGCTAGTTCGTGATTGTCCGCCTAGTGTTGTGGCATGGAATAGCGTAGTCAGACCACGCTTCAATATTGGGCATAAATTGTATATCAAAATATCTGCAACAGTCTCACTGCGACACACTGCTGTGGCAGTATAAGCAGCCCTTTAGGCTTTAGGTTTGGTACTTTCACCAGTGTGTCAGAAAATGTGCATCTCTACAAAGCAGTTGCATAACAGAAACCATTTTCCCTCTTTTTCTTTGATGGCAACTTGACCTTTAACACCTTAAATGTTGGTAACAGTTGTAGCCGAAATGCATCCGTCTCATTCAGCTCTTCAAGTACTGGCTGTAGCTGCGCTTTGCATCTTTACCAACCACGTTTTTTCTTCCACTCAACTTTCCATTATTTTGTCTTCATAAAGCACAGAGAACAGCCAGCTTCTCGAGCAGGGATGTTTTGTGGCTTAACTTTCTGAATGTTTGTTCTCAGTCTTTCTTCATATTTATGTGAGTTGATGTTTTTTCTGCCTCAAATGTATTCAATTTTTTTATTAGAATTGAAAATCCCTTTATTATCTCACAATGGGCAGATTCTTGTGTTCATAGCAGCAAAAAGATAACAGAAAAGAATTGTCACACAAATGTGGACCTTAGAAAAATGTATAAGAATAACATAATAGTGAAGAGTTAAAAGATAAACTATGAATTCATCTTCTCAAAAAATGTAATAAGCTTCTCTGATAAACCTTTTTTAAATCATATCATAATCAATAATTTTAACTTTTTTGAATAGAATGATTAAAATCATCATCAGTAAACAATGATTTTCTATCAAGAGCTTCCTGTTTCATGACGCAAATAAAGAAGACAACGGATATCTGGTTTTCAAAAAACCTTGTGACTTAAAGGCTGATTTTTCTTAATCGTCCAGTTTGTTTCCCATGTGTTAAATTTCACTCATCGCAGCTTAGAAGTTAGCTTCAATTAATCTCAGGGCTCAGCTTTTCATTTTTTTGTTTGTTAAAAAAACTCAAAAGACTATTAGGTTTCTTGTTACACTCTAAAGTGGTTTTGCAGATTGATGCAGAAAATCTGCTGAAGTCTTTAGGTTTTAAGGGTCACTGTTTCACTCCTACATTTATCCTGAATGAGTCACTGTGTAAAACGGACCCTCACTTGAAGCAAAAAGCTGTGAACCTTGTAAAGGTTGTGCAACAGAGATATAATCTCTACCTTATTTATTGTAGGCTTTGTAGTTTAATGGAAGCCAAATGTTTAGATCTTAACCTCTTGTGGTGTTAATGGTTTCAGTGATAAAATCTGATGTTTTCACCCATTTTTATGCTGTGTGTTGGTTTTAAAGAAAGGTTGTGTTTGGACGGTCGGCCCACTTCTTTTCTAACGTGCAGTCTTGTTTGTTAAAGGCGGGAAGCGATGGCGAGAGCATTGGAAACTGCCCCTTCTCTCAGAGGCTCTTCATGATCCTCTGGCTCAAAGGAGTGGTCTTTAACGTCACCACCGTGGACTTGAAAAGGTGAGTCTTGTTTGTTTTTTTCGAAACTTTCCCCAACATTAGAAAATGTAATTGCTTCCATGTTCTGGGTGTTTCCTCAAGGATTTCAGTCATGCTGCAACACTTTGATCCATCTCCACCTTTTAGCAAACACGCTGCTTGTTTGGTTTTCCCATGACCCCTTCCCTGGCCGTAGAAAGTTGGAGAGAAATAAACATACACACTCTGGAGAAGCTATTTAAGGCTCCTTTCCTGGACTTGTTTCCTGTCAAGATTCTTTATTTTTTGTTGAGAAACATACATTCCAAAAAATTACATTACATTTTTTTTTTAGATGTAATTTTTTTTGTAATTTTTAATGTAATTTTTTGTGTTCTTTTATGTTTTATATTTTTCCTTATGTCCAGAGTTCTGCTGGATTATTTATGTTGTGTTTTTCTTTTCTTAGTATTTTGAAACAGTGTTTCTAGGACAACAGATTAACTGGGCTTCCCCCTTTCTTTGTCATCCAAGCAGCAAACAGTAATTTAAGTGCTTAAACACATGGAGTTAAAGCAGGTTGTTTCAGGTTTGGTTAAGTATGAAAAAAGGAAACTGATCCATCCTTTTTATCCATCCGTGTAGCTTTTGATCTGTTGTCAATCCATTCCTCTATCACTGATCTATTCATCCATTCGTTGCCTGTTCCAGTGATGCTACGTTCACACCAAAGGCAGCAGGAGCAGCTAGTTTACATGCAAAGTCAATGGTTGACACGCGTCAAGGCGCAGCAAACCGTCCCGCAGCACATTTTGAGCAGCAGGCTGCAAATGCAGCTGCTGCAAATCGAGTTGGAAAAATTAAACTTTTGCTGCTCGACGCGCCACATCAACCAATCAGAGAAGCTGATCTGGGAACTGGCCGGGAGACAGACACAGCGCTGATGATACAGATCACTATGATCACTCCTCAGAAACAGTTTAGTTATTATAATTTAACTTAAAATCCCAAAATCTGCTGGCAAAATATGTTTACTTCCAGCTGCTGTGGTAAACCGCAAAGAGGCGACCAGGCTCGAGGCTGCTGTTGAATGGAATTCCTACTGACCGCGCACTGCCGGTATGTGGGGGTCTGAGCGTCTCCGACAGCAAAATAATCTTTGAATGCAGGATGGTAATCTTGATGAACTGACTGCACTGATGAAGTTTTCAATGTAGACTTTCTTACTTAAAAAAATATTAAAACTACTTTATTTCCACTGATCACAGCAAATATAGCTGCCATTGTTACAGGAAAAGAAAGGATAGGGTAGCTATCTGATGGGGTTTATAGGGCCGTCAGATAGTGTTACTTTGTTTCAAAGTAATGTGCCCAACACTGCCAATTACCCAATCTTCGGCCGGTCTGTCCGTCTCATTCTGCCCGTCCCTCCTGCCCCTGAGAAACAATCTAAAATTCAAGCTTAACTTTTTCTTATCAACAAATATGTTGCTCCTCCAAAATGTGCAACCAGGTTTAAAACCTCTGTCTGTTAGAGATGAAAGGCCGTCCTCGCATGCCTGCATAAGATCTAAATGCTGTTTATTTGCATATATTTCCATTTGTGACTGACTCCAACAGAGGTGTTATAAAATCCAACTATGTAAATTGATCTTTCTCCTTCAAACAACCCAACCCCCAACTTCTGTTTGCACCGTTTCTTTATTATTATTTATTCTATGTTGAAGGTTTTTCTTTGGCATTTGGCATCTGGTCCCTCAGTTTACCTGGTTACCTTGGAAACACAAGTGAAGCATTTATTAATGATTTTTTTTTTTTTTTTTTAGGATTTCTTGATCTTTGGTCAACATGTTTTTTCTCCTTCTGCCCACCAGTTTACCCACTCCTCAGTGATATCACTCAGGGACTGTACCACACCCCATTAACATGCCACAGGGTTGAAGTCATTTCCCTTTTTCTTTCTGTGCCCTTTAATGGCTTTTCTCAAAAAGCAGCCTGAATGAAAACCTTTAGACGCTCTAGATGTTTTTTTCCTTCCAGCCTACAGCCGACACCTCTGCTGTTTGTCTCCGTTTTTGCTAGTGAGATGATTTAACAGGCCGTCTGTGAGTGTTTGACCACTCACTTGTGTTCACACCACTCATTGAACACATGCTCCTCAGTGTTTGCGCCTCCGTCTCATCTGCCCGCCATCTGGTACAGAATGTGCTGCCATGAAGGACACACAAACAACAGCTGTAGCTGTGGAGCAGGCAAAAATGAATGGATCAGTTTGAAAAAGAAAAAAAAAGGTTTAATTGGATGTGGTTTGTTTTGTTTTTTTCAGGAAGCCTGCAGACCTCCAGAACCTGGCTCCCGGCACCCACCCCCCCTTCATCACCTTTAATGGAGACGTCAAAACTGATGTCAACAAGATTGAGGAGTTTCTTGAGGACGTTCTCTCCCCACCCAAGTGAGTCCTTCTGACCCATGCGGTGATGAAGAACCACACCTATACGACAAATGCAACAACTCATTACTGTCATGCTTGGTTTGGTAAAACAGGGACTACAGTTGGAGTGGAGGCCCCTAATTAAGCAATTTAGAGAATGATGAAGATCATAATTTGTGTCCTGCAAAAGTATTTCACCCTTTTTTCCCCACTTTGTTTTCTCAAAATCACAAACTTTAAAGTATTTTATTGTGAAACACCCTCTCAGAGTAGTCTAGAATTGTAAAATGGAAAGTAGATCATGCATTTCTTTTTCCAAACATTGCTAAATTAAGCAGGGCTGTTCAATGGAAGCAGTGGGTAGCACTACTGCCTTGCAGCAAGAAGGTTCCAGGTTAGATTCCTGACCCGGGGTCTTTCTGCATGGTTTGCATGTTCTCCCTGAACATGCATGGTTTCTCTCCGGGTACTCCGGCTTCCTCCCACAGTCCAAAAACATGACTGTTAGGTTTGTTTGCTTCTCTAAGTTCTCCTTAGGTGTGAGTGTGTGTGTGAATGGTTGTTTGTCCTGTTTTTCTCTGTGATGGACTGCCGACCTGTCATGTGTGGAACCCGCCTCTCACCCGTAGACAGCTGGAGATAGACACCAGCACCCTTGTGACCCCAGCTGGGATAAGCATGACAGAAAATGGATGGATGTTAACTTAAGCTAAACGATTTTGCCAAAAAATCAATTGTGATTTTATTTGGATTTTCTTTGGTTTAACCACAATTATGTAGAGCTTTCACTGTAAGGTTTCAGTTGATTATCCAGAGTCTATTGTTTCAGGACTTTACGGTAACCTTCTTGTTTTCGGGTCAGATTTCAGGGCAGCCATTTTATCAGATACTTCAATCTGCAGCTTCATCATTACAGATCTTGTTTAATATTCAGGCTTGTTTTCCTGCTGTGTGATGAACTGAAGTCTCTCTAGATTTTTCTTCCAATTCTTCTATATTAAGCTCCATCATCTTATCATTCTTGTTTAACAATGTATAGCTGCAAACCTGGTTTATTTAATGCTTTTTATGCTATTTAATGGTATGGGTTTATTTTTTAAGGTTCTAGTTTGATCTCATAACACAGCGTCTTCTCTCACCTTGCTGTCTCTTCTCCGAGGCTCAAGGCTCTCTTTCTACAATAAGCTTCTCAGTTCTGCTCAAACAATTTTGCCAACAATCTTGATTATTGTTATTTTAGCCAATCTTGTGAATGCGATTTTTTTTTTCTTTGCACCAATCACAACCATATAGATGTTTGACTTCAGGGTTTCAGTTTTTTTAATGACCTTGAAGCTTTGCTTGTCTAGAGTCCATAGTTGCAGGACTTTACTGTAAACTTTATTTGGAAATTTCTTACTTCTACTTGCATGCATAGATCTGCATGCTGGCTGGAAGTTTCTCTTATCCTTTTTGTGGCAGCAAACCCATTTTAAACCTATTAAGGTCATTTAAAGCGTTGGAGTTAGAAGAAATTAGTCTTATTAAATGTAATGTGACCAAAACTAAGTGCCTCTGCAATTTGAAAATTGCATTTGGTTAAATTGCAATGATATTCCAAAAGCACTTTTTTGCGCAGCCCTATTCTAAATTTAAATATGTTTGCATTCTTGCTCTGCTCTTGAACAAATATCTTTAGGTATATCAGTCGTTTTTATGTTTTTCTTTTTTCTCTATTTATTTTTTTCAGATACCTAAAGCTCAGTGCCAAACACCCCGAGTCAAACACAGCCGGTATGGACATCTTCGCCAAATTCTCCGCCTACATCAAGAACTCCAAGCCAGACGCTAATGAGGGTACATTTCCTCTATTTTCCTTTTACATTAACATTCTCTCACAGGAAGATAGGAATAGGTGATTCATGGGCAGTTAAGCCATGACCAGAGGGCTGTCTGGTCGCCAGGCGATCTTTGCAGCCCTGCTCTGATTGGTTGATTATAGCCTGATTCAGGAACAGCTGTTTCTGGAGCTTTCCAGAACAGTTTACTCCTCCCTGTTATGGACTTATAGCGCCATCAAAATCTAAGCGACTCTACAGATAAGGCTTTTATCAAGTTTTTATTTTAGGTTGGGCTTTTTGCATGGTTTAAGACGTACTGTTTAAGAAAAAAATACATTTTGCTTTAGCTTGCTGTTCTCCGCCTTGGGAAAATATTGAGCCACAGTTAGCTTGGACATGAGCCACAGCTGTGTCAACATCTCATTGTTCACTGATAAGTGCTCTCAAACATAGCAGCTGTTTAACCCCAGGAGCTTTCAGGCACTCAAATTCAGGACATTTTTTCTAACAATAAAATCTCTTAAACAATCACAGACAGATAAAACATCTTCTTAATTCAGTCCAAACAGAATGGAGATAATTAGTGTTTCTTTTTAATTTAAGACATTAGAGATAATAAAAAAAAAAAAAAAAAAATCCAGTATATTTATTTATTCTTTAATGTCCCTGGTCTGTGTTACTTGATAAATGCTGCCCCCTTGTGGTTGAAAAGCGGAAGCTGCTGCAGTGAAATGATCACTTTATGCTGTGATCCTGTACAGCTCTGGAGCGCGGGCTGCTGAAGACCTTGCAGAAGCTGGATGACTACCTTCGCTCGCCATTGCCCGACGAGATCGACCACAACAGCATCGAGGACATCAAGTTCTCCAGTCGCAAGTTCTTAGACGGAGACGAGATGACCCTGGCTGACTGCAACCTGCTGCCCAAACTGCACATAGTTAAGGTAAAACGATGCAAGCTGGTCAGCTTTGCTGGACTTGATTTGCAGAAATCTCATCATATTTTCAGGCAGTTTCTAATGGTAGCTATATATATGTAAATATATATATGCATTTTAATGATGGCATTAAAATTATTTCTAAGAGCATAAAAAGCATTAAATTCGAGTTAATCCTTTCTGTATAAACCCTGCTTGCGTACTTTCCTGGCCACTTATAGAGTATTTTGTGTTTTCTCTGTTAGGTTGTGACTAAGAAGTACAGAGGCTTTGATATTCCAAAAGAGATGACATCCATCTGGAAGTACCTGAATAACGCCTACACACGTGAAGAGTTCACCAACACCTGCCCCAGTGACAAGGAGATAGAGATCGCCTATGCAGACGTGTCAAATAAACCCCGCTGGCTAGGCCACCCCCCCACACACACTAAGATCCTCCCCCCCCTCTGCCTCACTCCTGCATCTCCTACTCCTCAGCATCAGGACCGATGTGGCTCATTCATGAGAAAGAAAAATAAACTCTGGACTTCTTTTCCTTCTCTGCTCATCCCGTCCCCTCCGGTGTCATGAAGGTCTCCTTTAGTCGAATCAGCAGAGATCAGCCTTGTTGCTCATTTATCATTTAATTTCATTGCTCCTGTTATTAACTCGCCGTCGCACTTGTGAAACATTACAGCAGAACTTATCACTGCTCAGACATCCCTCCTGATAAGTGACCTTCCTTTTTTTACTTTCTCTGCCAGCAGAGGAAAGCTGTTATTTCTCCACCTGAAGGTGAAATTAGCATTTCTATTTGTTCTTAGCTGAAAACCAAGAGAAGCCTTTTTCTTATTTTATTTTGGCTGATTCCGACATCTTGTAAACAGTGTTGAAGCTTCAGTGTTTCTGCCTCCAGTATTTAACAGGGTTTAATTAGAAGCTAAAAAAAATAATCTAAACATGAATGCGGAGATGCTTTATTATGATAATAAATACAAATTGTAGCAGCAGGTAAAACAAACAAACTGGTAAACCTGCTTGGATTATTTTTTATTTTTTTTCCCCTCATTGAGTCTCATGGGGGGTGTCGCTCAGCTCAGAACTGTAGGAAATAATATGCTGGTCGAAGGACTATTAAAACTTGAGATATATCATATATCCAACCACATGTAGCTACTTTTTAAAGCTCTTTGCTGCAGTAATTCAAAAAGACTCCTGTTGAATCAAAGGAGCGTCTTGAAGTTCCTGTTTTCTGCTTCTTGTAGGTGTAGCTTATGCACATTTAACCAAAAAGGTGGAATGATTTGGTCTTATTGTGGTTATAAACAAGGGAACACAAGTCAGACGATAAATATAAACAGTAACATGGTGAGGGACACAACTTGGCTGTCAGATAAAACTGAAGATATTTATGAAGTGCATTGATGAGGAGTGCTGGAATAACAATAACCTGGTTACCTTCCAGTTTTCCGCCGATATGAAGCCGGATCAGAAGCAAAACTACGTATCGATTCAACATCTCCAGAACGTGCTTTAATGTGGATGAAACTTAATGAATTTCTCCAGTTTGCCACATTTGTTTGTTATGAAACATCTGATTTGAAAAGGAATTGTAAATATTATTTTTTTTTTCATGGATTTTTTTTTTCAATATGTAAATTTTGATCATATCACCAGAATTCTGAGGAAAAACTGGCCTTTTTCTTGCCTGGTTTGAATTCTGTAGAAGCAGTTCCCAGTTTGCCTTACATGATTTATCTGCAAATATTTAGCAGGAAGGACTTTTTTTTTCCTTTATCATTTCATTGAAACTAGAGTTTGTACAAAGAAATATCTGCGGTATTTCAAGGCTTTCTTTTTTTAACAATATTGACTGAATTGAAATAAACTTTTCATTGGCACTTAGATGTATGTGTCTGTTTTTGTTCCCATTAACCGATTGGTTTGAGTTTTATTTACTGCGATTTTCTCAAATAAGCATTTTCCGCCGCCATCTTAAACAAGGTCCCTCTAGATAAATTTGGATCATTCATCAAAGGTTTTTATTCAAGATTACACAGGTGGAGTGACAAGAGATGAATGGTAAGCCTATCTAGAAGCTAAAGTGCCATCAAACAAAAAGCTGTCATACTGTATGTGGACGCACTGTTTATACTGTATATATCAATGCAACGTTTTCTTTCTTTGGCACATTCTCCTTTGACTGTTGGAGCTGATGTAATGAGCAAATTTCTCAACTGTGAGATCGATAAAGACAATAGGCTTTACAAACAACTGAAAAAACATTAGGACATTTTATAAATTATCCGGTTTAACAATGAATGAAAACTTTAAAGAAAGAAATTATTTCATGTTTTTATTATGAAATGGCAGCATTTCAGTAGTTGTTGCAGATAAAATGGAGTTTCTCACTTTTACCAGAAAGAAAAACATTGGAGTCTCCAGATAAAAATGTTTAATTTCTTAAAAAAAAAAAAACGATTATTGAAATCTGTTATAATTCATCTGTAAATAACCACCTGGTTACTGGAGAAATTTCTACTTACTGAGGTTTTAAGTTGTAGCTAGAATCCTTGGAAAAATGCAATAAAATAATTGTTAAAAATAAAATAGCGTCAAAGTTTAAATGTGGTTTCTGGTTTCTCACATACTGTTTACTATTTTACCATTTTGAAGTGCCAAAAAATAAAACTGGGATTTAGGGGAAGCTTATTGAATATAGGATGATGCACTCAAAGTTACACAGATCTAAAGCCCAGTAAATCGTCAGCCTAGAATCTAATGCTGGAAAGTAGAAAAGTATATTTACTTACTTCTTTTTTTTTTTAAGTATCTTTTCTTAAGTAATTTTTGGGGAGTAATTATAACTTTGACTCCTACAAGTTAAATATTGTCCTTTCTACTCCACTCCATTTCCAGGAAGCTGCTAGTTACTTCTCCCTTTTGCTCAGTTTATGTTTGTAATCCACTGTTGCTGTTTTCCTTTCCTGAAATGCAGTTATAATATGTAAGATAGCAGCACTTAGAAAAACATTTAGACACCACTGGTTTAGCGATTTGTACAACATTCAACAAATGTGTGAAACTCAGGGCTTATTTCAATCAATCTTTATTGTCAACTACAATTTGAATTGTATTCGAGATTACAGTAATTTATACTTTTAGTGAAAGCTTTATGGCCAAGTTGTTCAGTAGGATGAGTCTCAAATCAAAGTTGTAGTTTCTTTGTGGTAAAAGATTCAAATTTAAACCTCTATTCCACAGTGAAAGTGTGAGGAGAATCAAGACTCCTGTTTTCTTTTTAGTTTGTTTTCAAATAATAATCAAATATGCTATCCTTATTTTTTTGTGTGGCATTTTTATGCTGAAGTATTTGAAAAGTGATGTAGAATCTGTATCAGGTAGTTCTACGCATCAATACATCAGATGCTTTCTGAAGGTTCAAAGGTTCTTTAAAATTACTAAGAAAATTATAGAGAAATGTAACTAATATTAATTTTTACTTTTGAATACTTTCATATTTTTAAACGTCTTTCGAAGCTTTAACTTTAGTAGATGTTTGACCGAGTAACTTTTACTTGTAGCTGAGTAAGATTTGACTATCAATAGTTTTACTGAAGTACTATTGTTGAGTACATCGTCCATCACTGCTATAATCTGATCCAGACTCAGCACTGCGTTTGACCCTGATTTGGTAAATATTTCACAAATGTCTAAAATACTGCAAAAAGAAACAGAAATATGATGATTTTCAGGGTGTAAAATGTTTAGAAACCATAAAAATGAAGTTGAATCCAAAGTGGGGAAAAACCTTTTAAAGAACCAAACTCATGCAGAGACCTTCCATCAGATTTAAGATGCACAGTGGCAACCAAACAGATGCCATAAATTAAACTAAATATATTTTGTTGCTGTTCTACAGCAACTTAAACTTCATAATTTAAATTCACTTGAAATGATTTTTTTGCTCGTTAAGTATTGAAGACAGCTGCCAGTCTTGTTATTAAGTGCTGATTGCACACATAAGCATTATCATAATACCAGTTATTAGTGACACATGATGATTTTATTGTTTCTCCAAATGCCTCCTAACTGTAATAACTTAGTAAAGCAGAGGAGGTCAAGATTTGACTGCAGAGATGAGAAAAGGTTTGCTGGTAAAAATGTTTGTGCTAACTCTTGGAGTAATAAAGCATTCCTGTTTCAGCTTTGACTTTTCTACATTGAATAGCAATATAGAAATGCTTTTATATCTATATCTTAGAGGTTAGATCTATATATTTTTTTTTCTAAATGTTATAAATGTTTCCTTTTTTTGTCCTAATCTTGAAAGCCTCACAATGAAAATAGGTATTTTTTCTATATGGCTCTATAATTAGTTATTTTTAACAGCTTTGATGTCGGGCCTGATGCTTAAAATCATGGTAAAAACAAATATAAAACAAACATTTCTCTCCGTATTTAGACTTTGATAACTTTTATTGTCATTTTGTACACACAGAACGTATTCAAAACGAATTTACGATCTGTACAGCTCTCATGTCATTATCATTTCTTAAAGTGCAGCAGTGATCAAATGTAAACAGTGTGCGAGAAAAAAGATATGTTGCAAAAAAAAATGCATTGATATGGAAGTTGAGAGCATGAAATATATATGGTGCAAATCTGCAGTAATTTTGCAATAATTTTAGATTTATTTGTCTGTTAAAAAACTTTTTTTTTAAATTAATTTCCCTTTTTTAAATCCCAGCAGTGCATAGATTTGACTCCATGATTAGTAATGCAAGCTTTCAATGCACCACAGGCTCATCCATAGTTTCCTTGTTTTTCATTCTGTCTCTAAAGAAAACCTAAGGAACCCCTGAGCCAAGACATGTTTGTTTACAGCTCTCAGTCAGTCAGGAATGTCTCGTGTCGGTGTCCACCCACTGTGGCTTCCACCTCCGCCCCCAGACACCCTCTTTACAGTAAGCCTTGACTCTGTTTCAGCTCCTCCAGCACACAAACAAGTCTATTCTGCAGGGCTTATGGCAGCCAAAGTTTCACAAGAAAGGGCGAAGAGAGAAAGGAAAGAAAAAAACAGAGGTGTGGGGGCGAAGAGTTTTTTGGACTCCCTCCAGATCATTAAAGTCTCATGTTTCAACTCTAGACATTCTGCACTCCCTACTTACTGAGACGCTGCCCTTACTTGTAATTCTCATACAGAAAATCCATCCAGATGCAACACAGAGTGTTTTTATGTGTGTGTGTATTGTGGTAAGACTCAACAAAACAGGCTGGCTATCATTCAGACCACACAATCATTACAAGCAGGGTGAGTGTAATTGGGTAATAGGGGTGGGGCCAGGAGGGCTGAGTGCTGTTTCATAAACATGTTGACTGCATGCGTGCGTCTGCGGTTGCGTGTGCGCACATCTGTTTTTTTTTTTTTTTAGCACCATCGTGAATTTTAGACCGCTAAGGACTAAAGTTTATGTTTGGACTAAATGCCGGTTTTGAGAGCGAACACTTAAAGTTCAGAAAATAATTAAAATAATTACAAAATATTTGAGTTTCATGAAACTTAATTCAAGTTAATACATATAATCTGACTCATCGCACCAATCCACTGAGCAAACTCACCATATAAATGAAGCTCTAAGGTTTCTGTGTATTTCTTAAGATTTATTTGCATCTGACTAACAGGACCTCAAGTTAAATGGAAATCTACAGGAAAAAAAGGAAGTTTTATCAGTTACTTTCATTTTAAAATAAGCCAAAAGTTTTTTCTCAATTTCTTTGACCAAATTAATCTAGAAAACACTCTTCTTTGTGATGACCTTTGACCTGTCAGTTTCTAACACCAGCGCTGCAGCTAGAGAACAGAGAAGCACGTCTGCTTCAGAGCTGTGAAGGAAAAAAACATTTCTGTTTAAATGAAAGCGCAGGTCACATCAGACACCAACAGATCCCAGTTCTGGTTCAGGTCTAAAGATGTTGAGCAAAAAGGTGAATGTGCGCCTGAAAATGGACAAAAGAGACAAATCTGATGCAAACAGAATGGAACCAAATCCTAACAGGATGATTGAGGTTTTTCCACTTAAAGAGTCTAAATACTTAGAGGGAAAAAATGGCACAGGTTTCCAGGAGCTGAGATGTCACAGCGTCCTGATAAACCACAGGTCACGGATTAGCGGACCGCAGTCTATCTGTACCCACCTGCTGGCCAATCCGGACCCAACCTGATTTAAAACATTTATTAATTACTATATGTTGTCCAACAGGGGGCTGCTCAGTGCCTTGCAGCAAGAAGGTTCCGGCCCGGGGTCTTTCTGCATGGAGTTTGCATGTTTTCGCTGAGCATGCGTGGGTTCTCTCCGGGTACTCCGGCTTCCTCCCAGAGTCCAAATACATGACTGTTAGGTTAATTGGCTTCTCTAGATTCTCCTTAGGAATGAGTGTGTGTGTGAATGGTTGTTTGTCCTGTTTGTCTCTGTGTTGCCCTGCGATGGACTGGCGACCTGTCCGGGGTGTACCCTGCCTCTCGCCCATAGACAGCTGGAGATAGGCACCAGCACCCCTCGCAACCCCGCTTGGGGTGTAAGAAAATGGATGGATGGATGGATGGATGGATGGATGGATGGATGTTGTCTGAAGATAGTGTCTAATTTCACTTGAATTTTCACTTCTCCTTGTTAAAATGGTAAAGCTCTCCAGAGCTTCTGGGACCAGACTAGATGGGATACAAATTAGCCAATGAACTGTGTCAGTCTGGGTTGCTGCTGCTGCTACTTTTAGACACAGCAGGCAAACCTTGGTAAGCAGGGCGATGGGAAAGAAGGAGAAGACGATGAGAAAAAGAGCAGAGAAAGTGGGGAATACTGGAAGAACTCCGGTGAACTGGTGAAAGAAAAGTGACTGCACAT